TGATGGAGATGAATGATGTGATGGAGGAGGACATATTATAATAATTGATGTTATCTTCTGCTGAAAATGATATATTCTCTCCCTGAAGAAAACGAGTTTGCATTCAGTGTTTTCTTCTCAGATACAACCAAGCAGAAGATTTAGACCTATGGCACGTCAAGCCTCGTATAACCTAATACGTTCGTGAACTCACTCTTCTGTGAAACATTGAAACACAACCTCACTTTTTCATGAGGAATTGAGAAATACTTCGGTATTATTTCAAAATTGAAAAGTAGGATTCGAATTCCTCAATAGTATGAAAGCAAGCAGTATGACTAGGAGTTTCACGAGTTTTTTATTTCATTTGGCAGACAGTTGAAAAAACGGCAGCCTGCATTGATTTGAGATTCTTTGTTCAGTTTCATATTATTCTCATTCCTAGTGCTGTATGAATGTGAATCACTATTGATGGGGAATGAATGTTTGTTAATGAAAGTGTATGTTGAAAGTTTCATGAAATAAATTGATGTTACTGTAAGGAGTCATTATGTCTCAAATGGGACCCCAATACAGAAATTTGCATTCTCAATCTTAGGATGAATGAGCCTGTATAGATATTTTCACAAACAATGAAATGCTATCTGCATGGAGCATTTTTCTCGCAAAAAAAGCATTATTTACATATTATTCGATCACCTAGGATTCTCTCTGATATTCGAACAATATCCCATGTTCTATTCAAATAAGAGGTATTCACTCAATGTTGGAAGGAAAAATGTAATGGTTTCAGAAAGCTTCCTTTTCATTAGGAGAATATCCATATTCAACAAGTTCCTGGAGAAAATAATGCAATTCTTTGTAGCATTGTCGAGGAAAACCACATAAATCTAAATTAACTTTTTAATTGGTCACTTTTTCAGCAAATTCGCATTTTATCTTTCCTTTTTGTGGGATATCAATAGCTCGCAGCTGTAAACTTAATTGAGAATAACGTCCAGAAGGATTTTGTTTAATTATGAGTCAACAGCAAATGCCGGTATCTTTGTTCTCCATCGGGGTTGCCATTTTCTGGTGGGAAAGAAGTTCCATTTGTTATTTCAATCCTTTGTGAATAAATTTAGACTTTTCCATTGGCCTTTTTTCAGTGACTTCTTCTCATTTGGCAGATAATTTCCTTGCTTTCATCCTTTTCACTATGAATGGAAAGAAGTTATATAGTCAGTTTCATTTGAATAATATACAGGGTGTCCCATTGGGAAACGGAAAAACTTCAACAGTGGGTAGAGCTCATCAAGGTGGTTCTGAATATATCATATTTGTAGGGTCTCGCAAGTTTTATATCCGAGATATAGGGTGTTTTATCAATTTTGTTCAATTCTTTGTGAGGACATAACTCACGAACCACCCAGTATATTCATTTGGAATTTGGTACACAATTTCGCCTTCTTCTACCAAAGCGACTCACCTATCAGTAACGGAAAAAATCCTGGACCGAATCAACGAGAATTTATCATATATTTGGACCCCAAAAATATCACCCTGTATTTTCGAATTTCCAAAATCCACTCACATATTTGGAAAGAGCATGAAAATCTGAACCATATTATGTACTTTCCATTTTTCCGCATGCTATTTCACTAGGAAATATCTGATTCTGAATATGAGGTTTCATGCTTTTGGATAGGTAAAAATGAAATGTTTTGAGTTTTCCCAATCGAATAACAAAAACTATCACGACTCACCCAGTATATTCTTTTGGAATTTTGTACACAGGCCCTCCTTCTTCTACCTCAGCGACTCACCTATCAGTCAGGATGGAAATCCAGGTCCAGATTAAAGAAAAATTATGATCTTCTGGGCCTGAAAAAGTATATTCGAATTTCCGAAATCCGATTCCATGTTTGGAAAGGTTCTCAAAGAGATGATTCGAATTGTGTACTTTTTATTATTCTGCATGCTCTTTCACTTATTAATTTCTGATTCTGTAAACTCAAAACTTTCCATTTTACCTCGATTTCTACCTATCCAAATGCATAAAACCTCAAATTCAAAATCAGAAAGTCTCGTCTAGTTGGTCTCGTGTGAATCACTAGTGGAGTTGTAGCATGCCAAACCATGCAAAATACTATAGACAGTAATAAAATAATTCTTAGTGAAAACAACTTCACTCAAGAGAACAGCTCTATGAAGAAACCAAGTTTCATAACATAAGATGGATTTATATGTATCACTGTCTTATAAGGAAGTATGATAATAAATATCTTTACTGGAACGAAAAGATGAAAAATACTAGACTAGATCTACCGAAAATTTGAATGTAATAACTTTCATTTTCAAAAAAAAATAAAAAAATTCATACACAACGAACAATTCTCTATTTCGGTCCTAAATTCTACAATAAGCTGACCGCAGTTTGAAAGAGAAACTCTCACATTATGTTGAATTTGTGCCTGTAGTCTGTGATGACATGGTGTATGTTAACACAAATTGTAACAAAGTAAAATAGTCTGAGGCCTTGCTTCTTTCTAGTTCCTAATATTATTATAATAATCTGTCAAGTGAGTCACTCTGGTGGTGACTTCACTTATATACATTTTAGTTGACTATTTCGGTTGCAAAAAATAGCATGTTCCATTCGGATCAAAAGTGACACTTTGTTTGAGAAGTGAATATTGCATATGCGAGGCACTAGCTGCGCACTTCGAAAGCATAAAATAATTACATGTGATGATGATGATGGTTAACCCTTATTTCGAATGACAATGGAAAATGAAAGAACTCCATCTCCCCCCTCCCCGTGTGAGAGTCGAACTCACAACCTCTGGGTTATCGATCAATCGGCAGGGATGATGGGTACTCGACCTCACTGCCGATTGATCGACAAGTGCCCCGTTAGCTCAACTGGCAGAGCGTTGGGGCCGTTGGGCATGTAACCCAGAGGTTGTGAGTTCGAATGTCACACGGAGAGGTGGAGTTTTTTTATTTTCCATTGTCATTCGAAATTAAGGGCTTTCCATCTTCATCATCACATGTATCTTTTCGGTTAAGTAACCGACAAACATTATGACTGACTCCTACGTAAAATAATTACTGCATGGGGGATACCCTCCAGATTTTCAGCTATTCAGCGACTTGATGACGAATGACATTCACGTTTCAGTCTCCTGCGCAGCCAGAATTGAGATGCCACGAGTCAGCTGTTGCCAGATTCGATAAGGCTACAAAATTTAACTGGATAGACATAACTGGTTCTTTTAAAAGGATCAAACTGTGACCGTGCCATACTCATGTCTCATACAACATTCGTTTAGGCTTTTTTGAAGACCTACTCGGGTTGACTCTATCTTTCCTGCATCACGTTCACCTAACCCGAGTTGCATACCCGTGTTCGTAAACTTTTGTGTGGCCTACTCGATCACTAACTCAGGTCTGTCTGTACTCTAGAGCAGGGTCATTAGAGTCTACAAACACACGGCATGCACAAAATTTTGTTCTTATTCTGTTGCCTCATATCTTGGTTCAATTTCCTGTGTTTTTCGTGCTGAATGAAATGGCATGAATGAAACGAATATTTCAATCTCCTGAACAATTTAAACATTTACCTTCGACACTTGTTTTGATGGAGAAGAATGATTTGGTGGAGGAGGACATATTATAATAATTGATGTTATATTCTGCTGAAATTGATGTATTCTGTCCTTAACACGTTCGCTGCCTGGTGTATCATCAATGATACACCAGGTAGTGCTTTCCATAGGCCGGGGGTATCCTAAATGATACACGGACTATCATTCTGTCTGAACAGCGGTGTATTCTCTGTAATACACGGGCAATAAGAAATGCATTAGCTTATGATCTCTGTGGCCTGGCAGCATGAAGAGCAACTGAAAGTTTTGGCCTGGAGGGTTTTAGTAAGGACTTTTGTGTGGGTATAAATTGAATACGTACCTCATTGGTGAAAATTACCTTGGCCCGTGAAGTCATTTTTTGAAATTTCAGCTCGGCAGCGAACGTGTTAAAGGAGACGAGTTTGCATTCAGAGTTTCCTTTTCAGATACAACCAAGCAGAAGATTTAGACCTATAGCACGCCAAGCCCCTTATTACCTAATACGTTCGTGAACTCACTCTTCTGTGAAACATTGAAACACAACCAAACTTTTTCGTTTGTTTAGAGAGGAATCAAAGGATTGAAATAGTTTTTCACAATATTTTGGCACACGAATCGTGTTTTTTGCGCAGTTCATCAATTCAAGCATGCTTTTGCATTGTTCTGTTGTACAATGCACAAAAAATGCAGCGAGAAACGAAAGAATATGATTTTTCAGGAAATCAGTAATCTGACATAGTTTTCATCATGAGATTTTGTCATTTCTCATTGAAATTCCTTCTACCATTTCTGCAATAGAAGCTAATGCTGCTGGAAGATTGAAAATGTCTACAACACATATTATGATCATATTATGTTAGCATGTCAGACAAGTCCTCCCGTTTGATTGCATGAATCCAAACTTCTTGCATTATTTCAGGAATTTCACGAGTATTTCTATTAGTTCCTATTGCAGAAGGAATTCCGATGAGAAATCAGGGAAATCACCACATTTCAAAAATGAAAACTATAAGTGAGTGACTATAGTAGGTATACTTACTTTCAAATCATGATGTACCAACCGGATTCCTTCGTCTCCCGCTGCATATTTTGTGCATTGTACAACAGCACATTGTGTTGCCATGCGCCATTTAATGAATGGCCGAAAACCATGAATCGTATGCCAAAATAATTGTGAAAAACTATTTCAATCACTTGTAAACAAATACGAAAAGTGAGGTTGTGTTTCAATGTTGTGCCTCCAGGGTCGGTCATCTGACAGTTCTTGCACGCAACCCATTATCTGGATAGGTGATCTGAGTGTGATCAGTCACGTGATCTATTCGAGTCGGTTTGGTGACCTGAAGTAAGTTTCCGAAAATGCCTATTTATTTTTTCAATTTCGGAAATACACTATGTGTGTGTTCCTACCTGGATAGTATATGGCTTCTTTCCTAACAGTGTAATTAGCCTGGGGGATGTGAAGTTCACAGGAAAATTCTTCTGGTGTTTCAAGAGAGGGAATTTGGGCTACCGCTTTTATGTCGTAGAGGCCATTCTTCTCGCAAACCTCAACTTTGGAGTTGTTGACTTCACTGAAATACAAAATCGAGCGACCATTACTAATAATGATATGTTTATCTGGTCTATTTCATGAGAAATATCGGAATGATGTTCAGTTAAGAGAAAATATTTGAGGTGATTAGGGATTAACTGATTGATTCGATATTAGGCTTCGTCATTGATTTCGAAATTGAAGAATAATACTGATATAAAATATTTTTTGACAAAATCAATATCATGTCCGTTTGATGTTATCTTCTGAATATGCAAATGGTACTCGATTCTGAAATTTGCGTTTTTATATGAAAAATACCATGATATGTGAATTCATATTTTCTAGTGAGTTATATTCCGATTCAATAAATGCTATTGTTGGTTCGATGCTTACATATTTTTTATTGATCTAATTGTGCAAGTAACTACATCGAGGAAAGTATGTATTATATAGCTATGTTATATGACGAGCATTTTCTTATGATATTAGAGCAGAGCAACCTCGACATTTTTCCACGAATGCTATAGGGACATGTTATGCAATTTTCTTCACAGTGATTTTAATTTTGAAAATGTAGTGAAATACAGTGCCCTACAATTGAAGTGGGACACCTGAAATTTTCGCTCGAGTTTGTAAGATTATAACTTCTGAGAAAATGATCCGATTTCAATTCGGTTTCCAGAACTCAGGAGCTAGTCCTATTGTCTCAAGACCGATGGATTCGAAAAACTGGAAATATCGTGAATCGAAATTGTACAGGGCGATTAATGGTACACTGTAAACTTGCATCGACTTTGGGATCACCTCATTCTGTCCACATTTTTTTTTTCTGCTTTCTTCATGAGGTTTCATGAAGTTCAATGCTATATCTTGAGATGGTTTTTGAGTTCCATTGATTGATCATATGTCTCGAAAAACTGATTTTTTCAGTGGAATGTGTCAAAAACAGGCGATTTTTGTTTCAAAAATTGTTACGAGATGAATTTCACGGTTGCGTGTACTCCATAAAAGAATCGAATCACTTTATTTCCATACAATGACCAATACAGAGTGGTTTCCAGGGATTGATTCAGGCTAGACTTTTTATTTGTATATGAACATGGCAATGTGTTTCAAGTTAGAGACTTTTGATCGCATCTCTACTGTCCGGATGATTACACAAATGAATATTTCCGTTGCAATAATGAAGAATGATGAGATATCTCTAACAATTTCGTTTTTTTTTTCGATCGCGTCAATAATTTCAGAGAGGTATTTTTTAATCATAATATATCTATAATAGATGATTCAAAATCAATCACGCTATATCTTATCGTTCATTAGAATATTTTTCCGATCCTGAAGATACGAGATGCATCGAAAAACATCATCATCATCAAGAATTCAGAATCTCAATCATTGTAATCGGTCCCTCGCATGTTTTATTGATTCTGATTCATCAAAATTCGAAAAGTAGAAGTGAGTTTTGTAATATTCCAATTATTGTGCGTTTATACGGAGTATAAATCTGCTTTTGAAGTTCCAAGACAATTTCTATCCTTTTTAGTTAACTGTCGACGTGAATACCATAGTTTTTGAGATGGAGTTGGCAGTTCTCATTTCTCTCAATATCGCTACATTGAAACATTCTGTATATCATATCGACCAACAAGGATAAAAAAATGGTTGTAGATGCTGCCAATTCATCAAAGAGGTACTGTTCAACAAGTAATTGACCGTTTGCGGAACCAAGTGACTACGAGATATACGTTTTGGGGCTACACAGCCCAGACCTTGATAATTTCCTCCGAACTGCTGCTCGTCGGGACAGGACCAGTCCTGCTCGACAGATTGAAAATTCCTTGAGGGCCACAGCAGGAGTAGGAATATCTGTTGAAACTGGAGACGATTGCACGAGAGCGGTTTGAGATCCAGGAGACGAGCTGCGTGCCTGTTGTTATATAGGGCAGCGTCATCGGGCCCACCACAGCATAGAGTAGGTGTATAATAATCCAAACAGTGGAAATGCGATCAGAAACCTGAAACTTCGCACAAATTACCATCTTCATATACAAATAAAAGTTGAGGCTTGAATCGAACTCTGAAAATTACCCTGTATTGGTCAGTACATGAAAATCAAGTGATTCAATCTTCCTATTGAGTACGAAACTGTCAAAATATTCTCGTAACATTTATAGAACAAAGAACACATTCCACTAAAAAAATCATATTGTCGCGACAATGTGATCAATCAATGGAAATTCAAAAACCATTTCGAGATATATATAGCATTGAACTCCATGCACGGAAAAAAGGAATTGTTGAATCAAGCAAAATTTAATTGAATGAAGCAAATAAATGTGTCATATATGCACGACAAAATATGATCTTGAAATGAGTAAATCTATATCTTGTTTCAAAGCAAATTTGGAGTTTGAATTGAGTAAATATGTCTTGAATGAACTCTGGATCATATTCAATCAAGCACATCTATGAATTGTTCATGAAGAGATATTGAATTGGCTCAAACAATCATTTTGTTAGATTCAAATAACAAGATATTGATTCAATCAAATATTTAGTTGATTCAATGAAATATTTGGTAGATTCAAAGGAATACTTGGTTGATTCAATGAATTATTTGGTTGATTCAATGAATTATTTGGTTGACTCAATGAAATATTTGGTTAATTCAATGAAATATTTCGTTGATTCAATGAAATATTTCGTTGATTCAATGAAATATTTTGTTGATTCAAGAGAAATTGTATTTTCAATCGACAAATTGTTTTGTTGAATGAAATTCAGTATCTATGGGAGTTTTCTGAAATGTCACATCAAAAGAATAAACTGAACTGGAAAACTAGTGAACTTCTTAGCATAGATATCCAGTTTTTACTTCCCTTCAGCTGAAAAATGCAAAACTATTTCGGATTGCTAATCATCCTAAGTTCGATTTATCCAGCTGATATTTCAAAGGATCCGGCCTTACGTATAGAAGGAATTCGAGGCATGAATAGACGAGGCGAAATGATCGCCATCTAGAGGCGGAAATGTAAATTGATGTAGAATGAACAAAATATTTCATTGATATTACATATTTTGTTGCTCGCTATTCAAGCAAATGATCCGTTCGAAACGAGTTCATTGCTACATCGGAATAAGAAAACTTGTTTGTTGTTCCAAAGATATATAATCATCAAAATGATCATTATTTCATCAAATCAACAAAATATTTATAGTTGAATCAACATCGACATTATTTTGGATCGACATAATTGCTAAAGCTGTTTCCATGAAATTATCATGTATCTGGTTGATTCAACAAGAAATTGCTCAGTCCAACAAAAATAAATCAAGCATAAATAGTTGGTTGATGCAACCAATCCTTTTTTTTTGTGTGTGAAAAATCATGGAGAAAGCAGACAAAACATTTTTGGACGGAATGGGGTGACCCCAAAGTCGATGCAAGTTTACAATGTACCAATTATCGCCTTGTACAATTTCAATTCATGAAATTTTCAGTTCTTCGAATCCATGGGCCTTGAGACAATAGGATGAGCTTCTGAATTTTGGGAACCGAATTATGAAGTCGGATCATTTTCTCAGAAGTTATAATCTTACAAACTCGAGCGAAAATTTTAGGTGTCCCTTAGTTCAATTGTGGGGCACTGTATATAAGGTTTTGTATGAGATATCTCACAGCGATTGTTCATGTTAATTATTGTTCCAAATTTTCGAGATTTGAGGCGAATGAGAACATCAAAAACTCCTATATAACAATAGGATTACTTATGATGTAACCTGTATATGCTTCGCTAGATATTCACATTCGTTTTACGACATCATATAATATATGTACCTATGTTGTTTCGATATCATTCGGGTAAACGAAGGGGAATGTGAAACATGTTTGAAAATATTGGACCGAAGTTAAAGTTACAAAAAAGTCACTCAATTTTTACGACAGAAGCGTATGTTGTGCTGGTTTTTGCAATAACGACATAATTTTATGATTCAATCCATCAAACAATATTACCCCAATAGCCTTTACATAATTATTGTAGATACTATATTCTATTTGAATAATGAATTTGATGTTCCACCACAGGAATGTTACGATAGCTGGAATTAATATATCACATACAGAAACATAAGTTACCAATTTTGATTAGATTTGATTATTTTTTTGAGGTTAGGTATTGGAACTCCACTTGAATTCGTGAATCAAAAATACAACCTTTCAATAGGATACGAAATCAGCTGAAATTGAATGAAATTTTATCATGAGGACTCATGAAATGACTACCACTTGCACTCGTGTCAAGTCGAGGCTATACAAAAGTAGACCAACATGTTTAAACCATCTTGGTCATCATACTATTTCAGTCTGGTACGCAACAAATTTCGGTATCAAACCAAGCTGGTACCTTTACCAAGTATACAGTTTATACCAAACTGACCAAGAGTATTTTGTCGAAATATTATCATTAGTCAGCTTACCAAAACACCGTATAAACGTGTCCTTTGGTGCCAAACAACGTCGAATGATTCAGATATATGTATCGCCACAAAGAGATTCCCCATGTTGATGATGATGGAAAGTAGATTGCAGAGAATCAGTGTCAATTCAGGTGTACACTTTTTGATTATAATGGGGGTATTATATCAGGACCGTTAGCCTTATCCGATTTGAGACCAAGGAACACGCGTCTAATTTTGCGTCGGGATGAAGTTGGTAAGAGGTTTCGAACATTATCATCCGCCATTTTGTCTTGAATAAAAATTCCCGACTGAAATTCAGGTGTGAAGAACTCTTTCAGAATAGCGTCTAGATGATATTTAGAAAGATACACATGTTCTATTAGAATCAAACTATAATACTTGAACTATCATTGAAGCAATAAACGAATGAAGAATTTCTAGTCGTTCAAAGGTCAACAAGGAGGGAAGGAGGCATTATGGATGCAGGTTTATATATAAATAGAGAAATATACATATACGTATAATATTTCAACGAATTTGGAATAATATTAACTTACGGAAATTAAGGTGTCTGTATCAAGTTCTGAGGCAATATTCAGTTCAGTACATATTCAGTTCAATTATCTTTGTTACTCGAACAGAAACCACCTGTTACCCTACTCTATTACATTATTTCCTAAGGGAGCAATCACGTCAGTTTCAGCAAGCAATAACTGAGAAGTAGGATCGTTACTTGCTCATGAAGTTCAGAAGTTAATGAAATAATGAACAAAGTAACGTCATTTCTCTTTATGGCCACTCATGAGTCAAATGAATTATGGTTATTAAAAATCTCTCGAGAATCATTATGTTTCCTACTGATAATCTTTTATGGATCAAGTTAATTGTATACTTATTAGCGTCAGGTTTCTGCAATCTTAAATGCTCAGCTATTGAAATGGTTCAATTCCTATTTCCGAAATAATTGAGGAATTTTTATGCGGTGAACGATGCCGTAAGCAATGACCCTAGTTTCAATAAGGTTATCAAGATAAATTATGCTGTTCGTAAATATTCAGACAAGCCAGAGCTGGAAACAATCGCATTATTTTGTGGTTGGGAACCAAAAAAATTTCAATAAATTACTCATACAGGTATCGGTATAGGTACGAGACTATGAATAAATAAATAGTAAGATAACATAGAGAACATAACACCAATGAAAGTTATCGACCTCAGAAAGTTAGAATTTTAATTTGATTCTATTCATTTCAAGATTCCAAATTTGTATATCGAAGCCAATTGGCATAATATTGATATATATATACAGAGTGTGAATATCACGTGTTTGGTATCGGTAAATCATATGATGAATGGTATTGTTTTCCCATATCACTACCCAGCAAGTTCCGCCGTTTCATCGCGAAAATGACTCCAGTTCTGAATCGTTTCAAAGAACACTCTGTATATTGTTACATTTTTGGATTCCTGAGACAATTCTAGATCAGAATGTGATATCTTCGAAAGTTTTTACGCCTTCTTCTATTTTGTAGATTCACTTCAAATACTCTAAAGTTCCATAACTACCTATAATATGTCGATCAGTTGGTATCAACCCAACTCTAGTGTGACGCAAAAAAACGGAATTTAGACTCACCTTTGGCCGATATGCAAAGTCATACTTGGTCTTGGAAATACTCCTTCTGCATAGCACATCACTTGGAACACCTTCTCTCCAACATGTTCTTGTCGCAGTTCTAATGTTTTTTCTGGGACTGGAAAAATAGACATAACTGATTTTAGAGAAGTCTACTCCGTATTCAATGTTTTTCGATGATCATATTATGAAAAAATTGAATGCATTGATAATCGGTCCTATTCACTAGGATCGTGGTTATTTTAGGTTATTTCAACAACTGTCATTCGGGTGGTTGATATGAAGGTTAGTGGTTATTTGAACCACTCACAGATTCTTTGATTCTCTCTTCTAAGGCATATATGGAAAACCAATTACCAACTCGTCTTTTTCCACTTCCTATAGTGGCAGATATCCACCATCTTTTTCTGGTAATTTTTGGAGTGCCAAGGTTTTTAATGAAAATATGTGGCACTATTTCAAGGAAATGTTCTTTATCGCGAAATATGTAATTCTACGACAAGAAAGTATTAAATACCTACTCAATCATTTGTGAGAACAAAAAAATTACCTATTTCACTAGAAGGATAGACTAAAATAATTGAATTTTGGAGGATTCAACAAATCCTCCCTTGAATTTTGGAAAAGCCTATCACATGTCGAAAGTATTGGTTTTAAAGGTTTTGATACCATTGATAGAACCACAGATAGAAGACGTTGGTGGAGCTACTTTTATTCTACAACATGTAAAAATAAATCTCAGTTGAGTTTCTGTATCATATTAGTATGTGAGAACTTATAGAGAATATTTATGACTAATGCCTAGTATTTCAGATACTTGCTGCTTTACTCTTATGTGCCCGAGGATCCTATCATTCTAGTGTTGCAATGTCTCAACAAAGTGCTTGTAGAGATTGTTAGGTTAAATTGACGTTGAAAAGGCAGGGATATAGCAATAATCAATGAAATAGTGAATGGATGACAAACTTCACAGCATTATTTTTACCACTGAGTTGCGGAATGTAAAAGACTAACCACATTGACAAATTTTGTTCTTATAGAATACCAAATACGAATAGTGGGGAATCTGGGGTGGTTAAAATAGTTCTTTATTACAACGTTATTGATTTAGCCACCCCTCTCTATTCTCTCATAAAAAATGTGAAGTGCAAAGCAGACAGAATATGACTGATAGTTGATGGAATAAGTTCCAATTATCAAAGATATTCTTCGGCAGTTGATGAACCAATTTGTTGTGAATGTGTATTGTACAGTGTATTCTTCAAGCATAGTATTGAGATGTGTTTGCTATAGCGTATGGTTGTTATTGAAACGATAATTTGTGTGAAAACGACTACGAGTACTCGTGAAACATTTCTGGTAAATACAGCATTCATATATGAGACGATCTCATTAGTATGTATGCTCTTATAAATAGTTGGAGCAGTGTCATAATTTTTGGGGAAAGATAAAAAATAAGAACGAGAGCACCATAATGTGGAAGTTTCCTTCAGATGAATCTTCATAAAATAAGTTCGGAACTCTCCACTTTTATGTCCACGCTGTACAGAATGACGACCGATAAAGTCCGAGTAGTTTTTATCTTCGAATTGAAGCAATTTCTAGTTTTTGGGGCGAAAAACTGTGACGCACATTCTGAATCCAGTCTGAAGATAGCCGATGGTGAAGAATATAGCTAGCGAATAGCTCACGAATAGCTAACGAATGAAACACGAATGGAAGAAATAGACGAAGAAGTTAAACTGGTGAACAAAAACATACATAACCACGAATGCACTCGGAGCAGGAATGCAGAGGGTAGTTGGCTTCATTCTGACAGGTTATGGTTATGGTTATTCTGACAGGTTATGGTTTTGTTATTTATGCATTGACTTATCTCGAATAAAGATCGATTCTGAACGAAAATATCATTGAATCAATGAATCATTATCGGCTACATTCGACGATACTATCCTTCCTACTTTACTGCTATCGGTCAGAACAGAATGAAGTCGACACCCATAGCTCCTTCCTCTTGTTGTGCCTGTCAGAGATCCGTTTTATCAAGGAACGAATTCATTAGCAAAAAAATGACTGACAAGTCATGAATAACATATTGTGATGAAACGATAGTAAAAAACTTTACATAGGTACTATCGCAAAATATCATAATTTACCTTGATTAGTGATCAACTTCATTCAGCCAATGAGAGATTTATGGGAATTATTTATAATACTTGACAATTGTAAAAACTTCACAAACGATGAGATTTCCACAAAATTCTCAAACACCCGACATGTTTCGCTAACACAGTAGCTTCGTCAGGTGATATACTGGTACCAGTAATCCAATCCTGATTGGAATGCAATCATTGAGAAAAAAAAGAGCCATCAAACGAATGTTTTCGAGAATTGTGTGAACAATGATAGAACTCTAGACGGCAACAGCTACTAGGAGCAGGTCTTAGTTCAATATTCTATAATTCTTCTTATTCAGATATAAATATGATAATCTTAGGGAGCAGTCCATGGCGACACAGAGTGGAGTGTTGTAGTTCATAGATGAACACCCAAAGTCATCTCCACATCATTCATTAGAATGATCAGAGATCAATCGTGAAGGAACATGTTTCGGGCTCATATGAGCACATCATCAGCCAATAGAAAGTATCATAGTAATGGAAATGAAAAAAGGAAACACTCAAATAGTGTAGTCGATAACATTGCAAACAGGGAATTATTCTTCGTTGATGATCTTCTTCTTCTTCTTTTTCTCTGCACAGGTGGGCGGGTGCGTAGACCCCTGCACTCAGGCCTCTTCAGTTGGGCCCATTGTGCGCCCACTTGTCCTGTGAATCAGATGGGCATGCCGTTCTTTGACGAAATTCAGCAGCTTCCTCAGCTGAGTCGCTTTCACATCCTTTAGGTGCAGTACAATGCTCCCAAAGGCAGCTTTCCTCTGATGCAACAGCGCGGGGCATTCAGTCAGTATGTGTGATGATGTTTCATCATCCTCCAAGCACCATCTGCAGATGGGACCATCATTGATCCCTATGAGTTCTAGGTGCCTGTTGAGGTGGTTGTGCCCAGTTAAGAGCCCAACTACCATCTTGAGATCTCTTCTATTGAGTGACAGGATCTCTCTTGTGAGCCTTTTTGGAGGTTCCTTTATATGGAGCTTTGATTGTCTCATTCCTGGTGTGTCCCGCCATGTTTCAATAAGGAACTGCCTATGTAGCATTTCCTACATGGGGGACATAGCCGTACTATTGGGTATTCCCAATATCGGTTCTGGTCCAATGAGTGTCGTTTCTGAACCGATCTTGGCTAGTATGTCTGCCTCCTCGTTACCCGGGATACCAGAGTGTCCTGGAACCCAGATGAGGCTGACTTTCCTAGTTTTTGCGATAATTTCCAAGGCACTTCTACACTCGGACACCAATTTAGTTGTGATCCTATTGGATCTCAATGCCATAATAGCAGCTTTGCTGTCCGAGCATATGGTGACTGGTCAACGTCCACTTCTGCCGAAATTATCTTGGACACACGTCAGAATTGCGAACACTTCGGCCTGGAACACTGAAGCGTATTTGCCAAGAGGTACTGAGATTCCTTTCCCTGTTCCTCCTTCATATACTCCTGCACCAGACCCGCCACCAAACCTTGAGCCATCCGTGAACCAGGTTGATTGGTTGGCAGGAAGCAATCCTGGTGTATTGCCAGTCCATTCCTCTCTTGTAGGAAAAATGACATGCGGAGCTTTATTGAAATTCAGAACTGGCAGAGTGCTGTCCCTTTTCATCAGCAGACTGGGACAGCTTTCTTCGGCCTTGTTCAATATTCGTTGATAATATAAAATCATGTTATAAATTTATTATGTCATAAATTTGTCAGTTAGGGGTCGAATTCATATTCTATAAAGATAATGTTGTAATGATCCTTCTTAATTCACTGTTCTGGTGCAATTTTCACTGAAATGGCACTCGAATCTAGTGAATAACATATTATGCTGTCATGGATATAACTACTGGAATTTGATTAGGATTGAAGAGAAGTTCTTTCACAGTGACATAACGTCCATATTGCAGTTTCACTGAACTAGAATGATTGAAATGTATTGCAAGTGGTAAAGAAAAATTGATATACACCTTGGTAGAGAAGAATATTGTTACCACGGGACTGGGGACAGGAGCCTCGGAATATAACCTTGGTAGTTGGGTAATACTGATATTCTTTACTAACTTGGTGTATAAATAACTATTATTTACATAAAGATTGCATAACATTGTTTTATGATGTAGTTTACATGGATGAAATAAACGGCATAATCCATTATATAACCTGTGAAAGTTCCGCATGGACTCAATCTCATCTATATCTAATAAGTTCAAAGGCGTCGATATGGGGGGTCTTTTTATTTTATTTTTATTATTTTTTCACCATATTTTTCAAGGATGTGATATGAATTTTAATCTGTCTAGAATTTATGTATCCTCACAAATTTTACCTTTTAACTTTTTTAATATTAATTATTTTTCTTCATTTGAATATTTACTTAGTATTTTACTTTTTCAATATTTAATATTGTTCTTCAGAAACATGTTCTGAATTGTGACTTGCCATAGATGTATTTGTATGTATATAACATGGTCAAATAAACTACTCTACTCTACTCTATCTACTCACTGATATTATTATAATTATCGATCAAGTGAGTCACTCTGTTGGTTACTTCAACTACTTATATACATTTCAGTTAATTCTTTCGGTTGCAAAGAATAGCATGTTCCATTCGGATCAAAAGTGACACTTTGTTTGAGAAGCGGATATTGCATTTGTGAGGCACTTCGAAAGCCTAACATGATGATGATGATAGTTTACCCCTTATTTCGAATGACAATGGAAAATGAAAAAACTCCACTTCCCCGTGTGAGAGTCGAACTCACAACCTCTGGGTTATCGATCAATCGGCAGGGATGATGGGTACTCGACCTCACTGCCGATTGATCGACGGATGCCCCGTTAGCTCAATTAGCAGAGCGTTGGGCATGTAACCCAGAGGTTGTGAGTTCGAATCTCACACGGAGAGGTGGAGTTTTTTCATTTTCCATTGTCATTCGAAATTAGGGCTTTCCATCT